CCCCCCCCCCAAAAAAAAAAAAAAGATATATAATCATTAAAAGCATGATTCCTTTAAAAGGTCATGACCATACATAATACTTTGTAAACAAGGTAGGAAAATTCAAAAAAAATAAAAACCCCTTTGAGTCCCTTGATATCAGTATATCCAAGCTTGAGACATAAAAAGAATTTTAAAAATGAGGAAAGGGGGGGGGACACATGTAAGAACAACATCGGGGGAAAAAAAGAATATTAGAAGAAAAAAACTCCTGGCTGAAACACACACATGTGTGGATCAAAAGCAAAATCCGATTTCCCTTTTTTTTTTATATAGAAACATCCCTGGTTCTAGTTGTGGAGGGAAGATGACACACACACACACACACAGAGAGAGAGAGAGAGAGAGAGTACACAAGAGACACTTCTACTCGACAGTAACCGACTTGGCCAGGTTACGAGGGAAATCGACATTGAGACCCTCCAGGACGGCGAGCCAGTAGGCAATAAGCTGGAGGGGGATGACGTTGAGGAGACCCTGGAGGCAGTCGACCGTCTTGGGGATCTCAATCTTCTCGGCCTCTGACGAGTCGAACTCTTCGTCCTTGGGGTTGCAGATGACGATGGGCTTACCACCGCGGGCGATGACTGTAGATGCGTTAGCGACGGGTCTGTACGGCCAGGAGAGGAGAGGGGTGAGAGGGGAGATACCTTGCTGGTAGGCGTTGAGAGACTTCTTGAAGAGGTCATCACGAGTGAGAATCATGATGATGGGGAGGTTCTCGTCGACGAGCGCCAGGACACCGTGCTTGAGCTCTCCCGACATGACGGCCTCGCAGTGGAGGTATGAGATCTCCTTGATCTTGAGGGCGCCCTCGAGCGCGGTGGAGAACTGGCTGCCGCGTCCGAGCAGCAGGAGCGACTTTTGGTTCTGGAAGGTGGCCTTGCAGAGATCCTTGATGGCCGAGTCGAGCTCGAGGATCTGCTTGATCTGCGACGAGACCTGCGAGAGACCCTCCATGATCTCCTCGCGCCGGGCCTTCTTGGAGGCGCGGTCTTCGCTCAGCGACAGGGCGAACATGACCATGGCGATGAACTGGGAGGTGTAGGCCTTGGTGGAGGCGACGCCGATCTCGGGGCCGGCGTTGATGTGGACGCCGCAGTGGGTCAGGAGCGAGATGGACGAGCCGACGACGTTGACGATGCCGACCGTCAGGGCGCCGCGCTCGAGGCAGTAGCGCAGGGCCATGAGGGAGTCGGCCGTCTCGCCCGACTGGGAGACGAAGACGCAGGTGTCGTCGCGGAAGACGGGAGCCTCGCGGTCCAGGAAGTCCGAGGCCAGCTCGACGGCGATGGGTATCTCGGCCAGCTCCTCGAATATGCCGCGGACGGCCATGCAGGAGTGGTAGCTGGTGCCGCAGGCGATGAAGATGATGCGGCGGCAGCGGCGGATGGTGGACAGGTAGGAGCGGAGGCCGCCGAGGGTGACGGTCTTGTTGGCAATGTCGAGGCGGCCGCGCATGGTGTTGACGACGGACTCGGGCTGCTCAAAGATCTCCTTCTGCATGAAGTGGTCGAACTTGCCCTTCATGATCTCCTGGAGCTCGAGCTCGAGGGTCTGGATGGTGCGGACGTTGGAGCTGCCGTCGGCCTTCTTGAGGCGGTGGATGTTGAGGGAGCCCTCGTGGATGTGGGCGATGTCGTCGTCCTCGAGGTACATGACCTTCTTGGTGTGCTCGACGATGGCCGAGGGGTCCGAGGACAGGAAGAACTCGGTGGGCATGGGCATGCCGTCGTCGGTCATGAAGGCGCGCGACTGCGAGCGGTGGAGGAGCGACTTGTCGGGGGCGCCGAGGAGGCCGGCGTCGGGGGTGAGGAAGTCGGTGGGGTTCTTCTTGAGGGCGGCGTTCTGGGCGGCGGCCTCGGCGGGGAGGGCCGACTTGTCGTCCGAGTACTCGACGTCGACGAAGTCGACCTTCATGCGGCGCTGGGTCTTGACGCCGATGACGAGGGGGGAGCCCTTACGGGCGGCGATGACCTCGTGGGGGTAGTGGACCGACTTGATGAGGAGGCCGTAGGCGCCCTCGAGCTCCTGGATGACGGCCTTGGCCAGGTCGGTGAAGCCGATGCTGGGGTGCTGGTCGTAGATGTACTTGGTGAGCTTGGCGATGCACTCGGTGTCGGTCTCGGTCTCGAAGCGGAAGCCCTTGCTCTCGAGGAGGGTCTTGAGCTCCTTGTAGTTGGTGATGATGCCGTTGTGGACGATGCTGAACTCCCAGGTCGGGTCAGACCTGTGGGGGTGGCAGTTGCAGGTCGAGGGGGGACCGTGGGTGGCCCAGCGGGTGTGGGCGATGCCGGCGTGGGAGTCGAAGACCTTCTCGAGGTCGACGTCGGACTCGTCAATCAGCTTCCTGAGCTTGGCAACCTTGCCGACCTCCTTGAAGGCCAGGACCTCCTTCTTCTTGTCGCCATCGATGGCGAGGCCGGCCGAGTCATAGCCACGGTATTCGAGGCGGGAGAGGCCTGTCGTTCGGGGGTGACGGAGGTTAGCGTGCTTTGATCCTTGTTTATATATATATATGCGTGTGTGTGTGTATGCGTGTGTGTGTGTATGTGTGTGTGTGTGTGAGAGAGAGAGAGAGAGAGGGTTGGAGTAGGTAGAGCAACCGAGAACATACCGTTGAGAAGGGTGTCGAGAATGAACTTGCGGTCCTTCTCGACCAGGTAGTTGATGTAACCGAAGATTCCGCTGTGACGGTCAAGTTTGTCAGCTGACTGCTCAGGCCTGATATGGGATAGAAGTGGGAGAGAGTGGAAGGAAGGTGCCGTGACGTCGGCAGTGGCAGTCTGGGATAGATATAGAGATGGAGGGAGGAGGGAGAGAGGAAGAGACGACAAAGGAGGGAGGGATGGGATCAGCACGTACCACATGGTGACACTGCCCTCTGTGGGAGAACGTCAAGAATGAATCGAAGCAGAGGGGGGGGGGAGAAGAAGAAGAAAAGGCGGATGGAGGAGGGGAATAGTCGGGAGCGAAAGGAAGAAGACGAGGTGGGTAGTAGGTAGGTCAATGTGGAGGGGTATCACGGGGGAGAGTAGATGACGGACGGGGTAGGTATTGGTTGAGTCAGACGGCGAGGAGGATGAGAAGGAAATAAGAGAAGAGGGAGAGGAGGGAGAAGAAGGAGGCTCGGAAGAGAGAGAAAAATAAGAGAGAGAGAGGAAGAGAGAGAAAGAGAGAGAGAGAGAGAGAGAGAAGAGATGTTTGTATGGGGATTAGGATACGTGTACGGAGCAGGAGAGTGACGGTGAGCTACATACGAGGCGGGGTGGGGTGGGTGGGAACAAGATAGATGTACGGGACTACGGACTACGGAGTGGTACGGAGTATTTTATTACAGGCCACACTTCTGCTGCAGCCACTGGGCTGCTGCTGCATTATACTGCCTGTAATGCTCGTAGCAAGCGCTAGTCGGTAAGGAGAGTGATGAAGACTGCTGGTAGTCTAGGATTCGCAGTACGAGGTGGTGGTAGCAGCAGCAGCAGCAGCAGCAGCAGCAGCAGGAGAGCATGGCATGGATAGGCCGCAGTGCGACTGGTTCCGGGGACAGTGAAGGGGGCGTGCATGGCGTCGTGACTGGTAGTAGTGATACTAGTCTTGCTCGTAACCGGTCTGTTGCCAGGTACAGCTCACCAGGTCACTACTTACTCGTACATGTAAGCTGTGACCCTGCAGCTGTTGGTAAGTCTAAGGATGGATCCTCCGTAGTGGAGGGATCAGGAAGGGGACCAAGGAGGGGAGAGAGGGGAGTCAGAGGGATGACCAGGAGGGGCCGAAGCGGGGGGGGGGGGGGGGGGCCTTTTCCATCTCTGATCACCGATCACTGATCAAGTGCAATTGAACACTGAACACTCGACGAATCTACCAAGGTATACGAGTATCATATTACGGAGCACGGGTAACGGCTACTCGTCTCGTAGCAATGATACGGAGTGATATCTGGTAGGTCACGATACCGGGCAGACCACACCAAACGTGCACCCAGCCGCCGAGGAATCGTGTCTTTTTTCTTCTTCTTCTTTCCCGTCTTGGGGCCGGGTGCAATGAGCCAAGAGATTTGTAAAGACGGTGTACACAGTGGACGGGATGATGCCATTGTATTATTATGACCATCTACAGCGTCCGCGTAGCCATTGTGTACCAGTGTACCCAGGAACCAGACCGGGAACCAGACCGGGAAGCCAGAGCCAGATTCCAATGGGCGCCAATATGTGGCCCTCTCTGTTCCTCCGTCCGTCCCCCCCCCCCCCCCCCCCCCCCCCCCCCCCCCTCTCACATCGAACCCCCACCATAAACCACCATGGATCACCGTCCCATGGCCTGGGGTCGTGTGAGTTCGGCCTCCTCCCCCTTACCCCATTGCCTATCTACGTTCATACTGATCCGATATCCTTCCAGCCCCGCGATGATGTCTACGGCGCCTACGACGCAACACCCATGCAGGCCAACGGCACTGCCAACCAGCACACGCAGCAGCCCATGGTGACGGGCACGTCGGTAATTGCACTAAAGTACAAGGACGGAGTGGTGATTGCTGCCGACAACCTAGGTATGCTTCTTCTTCTTTTCTTTTTTCTGCTTGTCGTCAACCTTCTAGATTGAAAACATCCCCTTTTTCCGACAATATCCTGACGCGGACGCACCAGGCTCCTACGGCTCCATGGCCCGCTACACCGACGTCAAGCGCCTCCGCCAATTCGCCGACTCGGCCGTCATCGGCTTCAGCGGCGACGTATCAGACATGCAGTACCTGTCCAGACACCTGAAGGACCTCTCCCTCAGCGAGTCGTACACGTCGGGCGACCCGGACAGCACCCGCCTGTCGGCCGCCAACCTGCACACCTACCTGACCAAGCTCATGTACCGACGACGCTCGAAGCTCGACCCCCTTTGGAACAGCATCCTGGTCGCCGGCTTCGACGACGACAAGAAGCCCTTCCTGGCCGCCACCGATCTCCTCGGCTCGTCCTTCTCCGCCCCCAGCCTGTGCACCGGCCTCGGCTCCATGCTCGCCCAGCCCATCCTGCGCCGCCACGCCCCCGACGACGAGTCCGCCGCCAAGCTGTCCCGCGAAGAGGCCGTCGACATCGTGAAGGAGGCCATGAAGGTGCTTTTCTACCGCGACGCCCGATCTTCCGACTCCTACTCCATCGCCGTCGTCCACGCTGATGGCGTCGACCTCGACGAGAAGGCCAAGCTCGAGAACATGTCCTGGGCCTTTGCCGACAGGATCAAGGGCTACGGTGCCCAGACTGTTTGATGTCTGAGCAACACCAGCGGCAGCACCTGGGACGGCATAGACTACTTTCTGTGCTCCCTCGTAGAGATGTGGTGGTCACGACCTCTTCAAGATGCTGTTTCCTTGTCAAATAAAAACTCGTTGCTTTGCCTCGCTCGTTTTCTTCGGCCTTGGGCCTTGTGACTCAGGCGGTGTACGTCCCACTCTTCCTGCATGTAAACTGTACTTCCCCCCCCTCCACTCTGTCGTGCATTCCATCTCCTTCTCATGCCCTCCCTCACTTCATCTCCCCTCCCTGCTTCTGGCCGCTCTTCTCTCCATTCGCTCGTCTTCTCAAGATGAGACCTCGATACTTGACTGCTGAATATGCCTTCCAAGGCCTTACCAGGATTCCTCGCTTCGCTCCATCTCACTACGTCGAGAAGTGGCCTGAGAACGGGATAGATTGTATGCTTTTTTTTTTTTTACTATCCAATCTCAAGCGAATAACCCCCCCCCAAAAAAAAAAAAAAGATATATAATCATTAAAAGCATGATTCCTTTAAAAGGTCATGACCATACATAATACTTTGTAAACAAGGTAGNAAGCAAAAAAAAAAAAAAAAAAGGGCCAAAAGCCAAAAGTTTAGGGGGGTCCCTTTTTTTTTTTTTCAGGGGTCACGAGGCGCAGCCGAACAGCCTTAACTCGAATCCTCAATCACGGATCATAGGCCATCCATGGACCACGATGACCATAGTGCACGTAGGCTTATGTAACTTCTCTGCCAGCAGCAGGTACAGGCGTAGACGCACAGGGTATCACCGTCGACACCTGCAATCCGCAGGCACTGACGGTACGGGGGTACCGATACTCCCTGCAGCCTACAGATTACAGGCACGTACAGGCAAGTACTCGCAGTGCCCGGCCATTGCCATCAATCACCGTAACTTCTGCCTTGGCTTGGCTTGGAGGGGCGGCGGGGCGGGGCAGAACGCGGCCACGCCTCGATTGTTGATGTTGTCTGTCTCCCCTCCGACCGTCACTAGCATCAGTTCAGGGTCTAGATCTGTTTACTCTCTTCTCCTCCCTGTCAAGCCCCGATCATCCATCCCTACGAGCGGCGGTACCGGTCAGCTGTCTGCCCTCTCCATCTCCTCTCCCTTCTCGCCGCGACCATCGACCAGACACCAAGCCCACGCACGCCGCTACATGGCAGCATCAGCATCAGCATCAGCATCAGCATCAGAGCCCCCACGACAGGACTGTTTCACTACTCGGAGTGGTGGCAGTCTCGTACATTGCCAGGTAGTAGAGAACTACCAGCATGCACACACACACACACACACACATATATATATATATATCTATATATATACAATACATATACATATATACGTACAGATCAGACGGGAAGAAGAGAACCCCTCATCGCTAGCGCCTTACGCGATTGAATGCACAAGCCCTCAGACGCGTCTCATCTAGGTAGCAGACTAACAAGTACGGGGGCCGCAGAGTACGAGATTTCTTCCTTGGGCTACAAAGTAATCTGTAATCTGTACAGTGTGCTGCTGCATAATGCATGGAACGATACCCCTTCCCAAGTACGAATACGAAGTATCACGGTACTACTGTTATGATTCTCATTGTTATTATACGTAATAATACTACAGATTACTCCGTACTTACTAATCTGTACAGATTACTACTACCTACTACTACTACTTACTTACCACTACTACTTACTACTTACTTTACTACTATTATTATTACTATTAACTCTGCTACTACTACTCACTTAACTACTACTACTATTATTATTGCTATTAACTCTGCTACTACTACTCACTTACTACTACTACTATTATTATTGCTATTAACTCTGCTACTACTACTCACTTACTACTACTACTATTATTATTACTATTAACTCTGCTACTACCGCTACGACTAAACTACTAGTAGACATCGCCACACACCCCATCTCTCATCTTCCTTCTTTTCCCGCGTAGGCCAACGAATACGAACTTTGCATTGTTTGTTTTGCTTTTGCTTCTGCTTCTGCTCTGCCTCTGCTCCTTCCTGTTCTAAACTTGCTTTTCCTTTTCCTTTTTTTCCCCCTCGTCTTCTTTAGCTCTCGCGCTTGCCGTCATCTTGTCCATCGTACATACGTACCTATTCGTAATAATGCTACTCACCTTCCTACTAGCAGCTGCCTCCAGGTCCAAGCCACACCCGACGCCCTCCACCTCTCTCGGCTCTCTGGATCATCACTGCAAGTGATTAGAATGCTGCCGATGCCCGCTACTGCTGAACTATTACTCGCACATTAGCTACCATGACGAGGAGAAGGAAAAGTGCCTTGCATCTCCTCTCTGCGTATTATGTGGATCAAACCACCTCTCCATGGCAACCTGGCAACCTGTCAGTGGGACCACGGGTGCTCGTAGGCTTGTGATAGACAGTACGAGCATCACTGATGCAAGTAAAGAAGACTGGACTCCCCCGACCTCCCCCCCTGCTATCCTGCCCTGCCCGCTCAGCCGCTAGCCCCGACATGCATTCTAAAAAAAGCACCCGTTGCCGCTCAACACGGACTCTTTTTTTCTTTCTTTCCATTTCTGCCCATAGTCAACACTCGCAGGGTGCTAACCACTCATCCCATGATATCATACGCTCGGCAACTTTGTAAGCCACCTCTCCCTGGACGGTAGTGATACGGGATCGATCTAACCCAACATCTCTCCATCCGTCCTTTCAAAGAAATGCCCGTACTACTACTACTACCCAGTAATACAATACGAACTCATTGCAGGTATAGCAGAGCCTAGCACACAGCACACAAGCACAGCCTCATATTCCAAGGACAAGCTATACAGACCAATATATCGAAACCCCCGAGACCTTTATCAGTACGAGTGAGAACCAACTGGTTCATTTCGCCTTGAGTGTATCCCGGGACACGGCTCCGACGAAACAACCGTCTAGAGTGTACTTGTAATGTCATGGTATTGCAAAAAAAAAATCACCGAGGAGAAACCATCACGTACGTAAAGAGTTTCCAGAGTTTCCAGGGTAGTAATAAGAGTCCTTTTGTCGATGGGTGGGAAGAAAAAAAAAAGTTTAGGACACAAAGAAAATGTTCCCTTGGCTTCCTTATCTCTTCCTCCCATGTCCATTCCCTTTCTATATTTGTACACTTCCCCGGCTGATGACGAAAAAACGGATCGGATGGATAGCCCCCAATGATTAGAACCCTAACCCCCCCCCCCCCCCCCCCCCAGCCCAGCATGTACCGTATTACAGCTTCTCGTACTCGAGCTTACCCTCGAGCTTCTTGGATTCGGCCACCTTGCGTACCGCGCCGTTGAAGTCGTCTTGGCTTATGGAATCGCGGTAGTCCTTGATGGCAAAGAGGCCACTGCATCGCATCAGTCAGTCATCTCATAGCAGTACAGAAGGGGGCAGGGAGATAATCAGATGAGAGAAGAGTATGCAGGAGGGGATAAGGGGCAGGGGGGCGGGGGGGGCTTCTCACGCTTCCGTCACCACATTCCTCAGATCCGCACCGTTGAGTCCATCGCTCATCTTGACGACGCTCTCAAAGTCAATGTCTCCGTCCGCCACGACGCCGGCGGCGTGGATCTTGAGAATCTCCAGCCGACCGACCTCGTTGGGCAGCGGGATCTCGATCTTGCGGTCCAGACGACCGGCGCGCAGCAGCGCCGGGTCCAGCGTGTCGGGTCGGTTGGTGGCCATGATGATCTTGGTCTTGCCGAGGTAGTCGAAGCCGTCGAGCTGGTTGAGCAGCTCCATGAGCGTGCGCTGGATCTCGCGGTCGGCACTAGTGCCCTCGGAGAAGCGGCGGCCGCCGATGGCGTCGATCTCGTCCATGAAGATGATGCAGGGCTCGTGCTCCTTGGCGTAGCCAAACATTTCGCGAATCAGCCTTGCCGACTCTCCAATATACTTGTCGACGATGGCCGATGAGACGACTGTGCACAGCTCGGATGATTAGCATTTCCGGTGCTCCGTCTTATGCCGTGAGGGGGGGGGGGAGGGACGTTGATATCCTGATATCCTTACCCTTGAGAAAGTTGGTCTCCAGACCACTGGCCACAGCCCTCGCGAGCAGAGTTTTGCCCGTTCCCGGAGGCCCGTAGAGCAGGACGCCCTTGGGAGGCTTGATGCCGACACGCAGGAAGAGCTCGGGGTTCTTGAGCGGCAACTCGATGACCTCGCGCAGCTCGCGGATCTGGTCGTTCAGACCTCCGATGCCAGCAAAGCTGACCTGTCCGGGATCCTCAAGCGACATGTTGTAGACGAGAGGGTCAACCTCGCGGGGGAGCATCCTCATGATTGTGAGTGTCGTCATGTCAAGCGCTACACGTGTGCCTTGCTTCATCTTGGCCTTGTCCACCTTGGATCGGCAACCGACGACATATCGAGGTCCGGATGATGCCTTGACGATGACTGGCACAGCGACAGAGAAACCGTCAGTAATCGATAGCGCATACAATCATTTGTCTCCCCAAGTATCGGAATGTCCGACAAACCGCCGGGGTCTGTGCCTACATCTCTCCTCGTCGAGCTGCTTCAGCACCTCGCCGATAATCTGTCCCACGCTCTGCAGAGCCTTGATGTTGTCCTCGGTCCGGTCGAACTCTCTCTGCAACTCCTTTATTTCCAGCCTGAGAGTCTTGAGCTTGGTCTCCCACTCGCGGGATTCGATGAGCTTGGCCCGGTACGAGTTGAGGGCAGCTTGGCGCTCTTCTTCGGGCGTCATGGCGGCGGCGGCGACGGGGGCTGTCTTTGCTTTTCGGTGTCTTTTTCTTTTCTCGGTTTGTTACTCGTCTTCGTCTTCTTTGGTATGATGAGCTCCCTCTGTCTCTCTTCTCTGCCTTCTCCAATTATATGCGTGCGAGGATGGGGAGTTCGGATTAGGTTGCTGATGATCGGCTCCGTGGAGGAGGGTGAATGCGGCTGCGGTCGTGGGAAGCGTAGGCTCGGTGGTGACGATGATCGAGCTTACCTCATGCGCTGGAGCCTTGAGAAGCTCCCATGCCGTCGTGCACGACGGTAGAAGATCGGGTAGAGTTCTGCCCCACCACCGCCACCGCTAGTGGCAGCGCAGCTTTGCAAAGATCACATACCCTATACTGCGCGCTGCGAACCGACCTAGGTTATTCTTCAGGGCATGATAGGGTGTACGTAGTATGCACTGTTATTTCCGAGTTTATTTCTGGAGACGAGTTACGACAGAACCGCAGACGGGATGCTTGTGGAAGGTCGATCGATAGAGAGTGCTGGTCTGTATCGCAGCGGCCTTGTTCTGGTTTCCTGCACGGGAATAGGATGAAGTCGTCGAGATGAGAGCCACCAAATAATCATGGATTCTTTGAGGTGTGCAGGTGCATATCAAATGAAATTGCTCCATAGTGCTCTGTAGCAGCGACCAAGATCTATAATATCCCCCTCCCCTCCCTTTGAAGAGGTACTGTACTGCCCAGGACGCAGCGGAATGCACGTGGCGCATCAACCCAGCTCTTCTGCTCGACAAGCAGGGACTCCGAGCTCGAAACTGCAAGCAGCTGTCACGATCGTCGAGTTGACGACGAGCCTAGGAGATGACGTACCGATGATCGTAAACCGTCTCTGCTAAGAGGGTCCGACGCCGTGAGGAGGGGAGAAGTACTGAGGTCATGGTGATGTACGCATGCAGCCAGAAGCGATCTCGCCTCTCTCCATCAAGCGTTTCATGAAGTGTCCCCCCCCCCCCCMAAAAAAAAAAAAAAAAAAAAAAGGAACCGGCTCCCTCCCTTTCAGTCCTTCTTGCTAGCCTCATCGTCATCCACCTTGGAGAGCGGTTCGCCCTCGACATCGAAGCCCAGAGCCTCGAGCCCGCGGATGAGCTCGCTGATCTTGATGACCTTGGCAATCTGTTCGGGCAGGAGAGTCTCGCCGCCTTCCTTCTTGTTCTGCAGCTCCTTAGCCTGCTTGAGCTTCTTCTTCAGGTTGCGAGCCTTCTTCTCATTCTCGGCCTGTGGGTCTACCGCCTCATCCTTTCCGCCGTCTTCTCCCTCTGCGGGCTTGGTCTTGGGCTTGGACTTGGACTGTTCCTCCTCGACGCCCTCAGCGGTGCTTGCCCCCTCAGCCTTGGCTTTCTTACGAGCCTCGCGCCTCTTGGCATTCTTGTTACCGGCGGCCGTTGCGGTGGCGGCGAACGGTGACGATGATGCTTCGGCTCCCGTAGTCTTCTTGTCTTCTTGGACGCTCGCTGCTCCCGGGATACCTATGCGCTTCCCACGGTCGCGAAAGGTCTCGGCGGCTCGACTCTTGTAGAGCTCGACGTCCTCGGGGGGCCGGTACCCCGGACGGACCTTGATGGCCTTGCGGGTGCTGCCGTCGGCTCGGATGGACTCGGGGATGTGACGCTGGCCGCTGTTCCGGTCTGTCACGATGCCGGAGTTGGAGGCTTTGTCGTCGGCCGGTTGTGACGGCATGGCTGCGGGTGTGCGCGCTGACCGCGGGGTTCCCGCGTTGCAGAGAAGGATGAAGAAAGTCGCGGTGGTTGTGTTGTGGGTGAGTGCTGGGCTTCGACGGCTAGCCCTTCTGTTGACCTTCTGCTTTCCTCCCTCGCCTGATGGTCGGTGTCGTAGTTGAGATGCTGGCTGCGCTACCAGCAGTGGTGGCGTGAGCTCACAAAGTCCTCGGTAGTATCGTAGTCAGTGGCTTTGGTTGTGCGCAGATGCGAGCCCCACCTGATGTCTTTTTGGCTTTTTTCTTTTCTTCTTGTCAAGAGACGGTGCACGAGGGTAGATCTTTGGCGGCGTGATAGTACTAAATGGGAATATGTTACAGGATGAAGATCGACGCATTGAGATGAAGAGACATTGTTTACAACAGCACGGATCATGTTTATAACACGGGTTGGCTTTCTGGGTTATTTTGCTCACCATCATAATATGCTTCGAGTCTACGTATTTATATACGCTTACGACCAAATGGGACAGCCAGATGAGCCATATGGTCATGTTTGGCATCGAATCAGGAATGTAGGAATAGGCCAAAGTGTCAGATAAATCACCCCTGTCTGCTTCATAATACCGACCATGCGATATCTTCTTCCCACGTGCAAGCACTCGCAGCATGCTCTTAAGTAGAGACGTCGTGTGTCCCAGCCTCATCAACTCCCATGCGGCCATGCCTGGCAGATACAAAAAGCGGGCCACTCCCATTAACCAATAGGAATCGACTCAAAGGCAACAACTCAGACCCGGAACTTCGCGATTTTCCCGCTGCGCCGACAAACTTGAATTGACGCTTTCAATCCCTCGCTCCTACTAACCACACCGTCTGCCCCCCCCCCCCGAAGTGTTCATTCACCCATAGCCGCCATCATGGTAAGTTATACGGACGCATGTAAATATGCATATCCTGACCATCCGATCTCATTCAGCTAACCTGCTCGCGCACCTACAGTCTCTCGGTAGCCAACTCTACAAGCAAGCTCCCCCGCCCCCCTTCCCTTCCCCGAACTCTCCAGCCAACTCGACATGAATACTAACCAAGAGATCAACAGTGTCCTCTTCAAGAGGAACTCTCTCATGCTCGCCACCGTCTTCACTGCTGGCTTTGCCTTCGACATGTTCGTCTCCCCTTTTATGCGCTCCCTCGGACCGACCGACCAGAATGCTGACCACTGTTTTTCTCGCGCTACAGGGGCTTCAACTCGACCATGAACAAGATCTGGGACTACAACAACCGTGGCGTACGTCTTTTTTCCCTCTGATCACCATTTCATCTGTCAATTCCGATTCACAGGTCGCGGTAACTAACGACGATTTTCTGGGGGGCTACAGCGTCAGTGGAAGGACATCCGTCACAAGTACGTCCAGGATGGGGACGATGAGGAAGATGAGGAATAGAGCAGCGGCAGCAGCAGCAGCAGCAGCAGCAGCAGCATCGTCGGGTGAAAGGGGCACGCGAGGCCCGGATACCAAGGGATGAAGAAGACCTCTGTGTGTCTATAACTGTACAAAAAAAAAGCAATTAGATCAGGGAGCGTGGTTCAAACAGACAGGGAATTAATCTCTCCTTTTTTTTTTTCTCGCTCTATCACTCTCTCTGCTGCATTACGTGCATTACGTGATGCGTTTCGTGGAACAAGCCCGAGCCTTTGACGAACAGTGACGAGAAGGCACAGTGCTCTTCTCTTACGAATGACTAGACCGGCTTGATCAAACAGGTCAAGATGATTACGAATTTTTCTCATCCGGAAAAGTGTACAGGTGTGAGAGTGAAACGGTCAAGGTCCCGGTCCCTGACGTAGTGGTTCGATGTCTTTAGTGTTACGGTAGGCACGCCCGGTAGGCCACCAAATATTTTATCGCCGCCTGGAGCCGTGGTGCTCGCCCGGGTGGCTTTCAACGACCAACACATTCTCCCCCAACATAACAACTCTATCCCACCCGACACATAGACCGAAAGAAGACCCGTCTCTACTTGGGGCTGCCCTCTACCCTTTGTCTAGCTGCGAATCATTCCCTTTTCTGACCCTTCATCGTCTTCTTTCGACGTCGCCACCTCAGATAATACTCTCTCTATCTGATTACCTCACCTGGGCGCCCACCTTGCGACCCCACCAAGAGGAGGCACGCACACGCACCTTTTGTCTATCAAGAGAGACTCGCTCCTCGATTCCAGCATCTGCAGAACGCTGCGTTACTGATAGGCACGCACCATCACGATGTCATAGAAGACCATGGAGCAGCCCATGTCATCCCAAGAGCAGCAGCTCTGCCAGTTACTGGCCGACCTGCCTGCTCAGAACAACTACCGCTACACCGACCGCACCGCCCGCACGCTCATCGAAAGTTTGTTCTGGTTTCTGGCCGGCGGCAAGTCCGAGTACATGCAGCTCCTGTTCCCGAGCGGGAGGATCCCCGAGAGCGGCAAGCTCAGCGACGCACAGGGCGCTGTCGAGGGCGCCGAGTACACCGAGACCGCCCGCGGCAAGCGATGCGGCCACATCTTCAAGGCCGGCGAGGCCTCGTACGCCTGCCGCACCTGCGGCACCGATGAGACCTGCTGTCTCTGTGCGCGGTGCTTCGACTCGACCGATCACACCGGACACATGGTCCGCATGCACATCTCCGTGGGCAACAGCGGCTGCTGCGACTGCGGCGACGACGAGGCCTGGCGCACCCCGCTCTTCTGCACCATCCACTCCGATGCCGAGGCTGGTGTCGACAAGGGCAAGGGTAAGGCCGCCGCTGCCCTGCCAGATGACCTCGTCACCGCTCTACGCATGACCATTGCCCGCGTCTTCGACTACATGTGCGACGTCATATCCTGCTCCCCCGAGCAGCTCCGCGAGGCCAAGACGGTCGAGTCCGTCCTCAAGGACGAGGAGACGTCTAGGCTCTCGTCCAGGTACCTCCATTTATCCAGGGAGCCTTGCGAGGATTTCTCCCTCGTCCTGTGGAACGACGAGAAGCACACTGTTCAGGAGGTTCAGGATCAGGTCGCTAGGGCGTGTAAAAAGCGCCATAAAGAGGCCCTCCAGGACGCCTGGGACACGGACGCCATCGGCCGCAGCATCCTCAAGACTATGACCGACGTCGAGGCCCTCCTCGGTATGGCCAAGGTCATGGAAGCTATCAGAATCACCGTCACCATCCGCTCCGCTCGCGACACCTTCCGCGAGCAGATGTGCGGCACCATCGTCGAGTGGCTCGGCGACATAGCTGGCTGTGCCGTCGGCCAGGACAGCCATATCCTTCGCCAGATTGTCTGCGAGGAGCTCATGCGGCCCTGGCGCCAGGGAAGTCAGGCCACGCACACTGCCGGCCTCATCGATGACGAGGACGAGGACGATCAGGAGCTGGAGTCAAGGCTGAGGCTCAACGGCGTCAACGCCCGATTCCTCATGGCCCTGCGGGCTGCTGCCGACACCAGGCCCGTCGATTTCGAAGTCGAGATTGGTGATGACGACAATGAGGACGACGACGAGGTTGACGATGACGAGGATGACGGCATCATGATCGACGACGACGGCTCCCACCTCGGATCCAGCGTCGCTGGCGATGATGAGGATGGAGACGAGGACGTCATGATGGTTGATTCTCGGGACGAGGCTGGTGATCTGAGCCTCAATTGGAGCCAGCCCGACCAGGCCCTCGAGGAGGACGAAGCCACCATGGCCGGCTACCCGCCTCCCCCACCTCCTCCCGCCCCTGGCCCCGGCGCCCCTGCTACTGCGGCTGCTGGTGCGGTCGATGATGCTACCACCCCTGCTGCCGCTGCCGCTACCGCTGCCGCTACCGCTGCCACTGCCGCTGCCGCCGCCACCACTCCCCGAGTGGCCCAGCGGGAGCGTGATGCTACTCCGTCAGACTCGGACGCCGGCGCAGAGCCCCTGATAGCCCCGGCCATCTATGCCAAGGCCAATGTCGACATCCCCAAGACGCCCGGAAAGACGGAGAAGCTGACGCCGAAGCCAGGAAAGCACTGGATCGAGACGCCGGCCGGCTACACCCGACGGGACTACGAGCACCCTGCCGAGGATGTCTTTCAGCGCGTACGCCTCGACTGGCTCCTCCTCTTCGACCCTCGGATGTGGAAGAAGGTCCGGATCGACCTCAGGTCCCTGTACATCTCCACCGTGGTCCAGGTCCCCGAGTTCAAGCGCCTGCTCGCTCTGCGCTTCTCTAGCATGTACACTGTCCTGGCCCAGATCTATCTGGTCGGCGATAGGGAGCCCGATCATTCCATCATCAACCTCTCGCTGCAGATGCTAACGACGCCGTCCATCACGGCCGAGATTGTCGAGCGGGGCAACTTCATGAGCAGCCTCTTCGCCATAGTCTACACCTTCCTCACCACCAGGCAGGTCGGCCACCCCTGGGACGTGTCGCCCGATGCCGTCCTGGCCTTTGAGAGCGGCTCCGTTACGAACAGACGCATGCTCCATTTCTACCAGGACCTCAAGTATCTCTTCGGGTCCCCCCATGTCCAGGAGCGCATCCGCTACGAACCGCGCTACCTGATGCAGTTTCTGGACCTCGTCAAGCTGCACCAGGGTGTCGGCCCCAACGTGCGTGCCGTCGTCGAGCATGTCGAGTATGAGGCCGACGCCTGGATCACGGCCTCGCTCGTCACGCGGCAGATCAACATCCAGGCCCGCAGCCTGTCCGAGGCCTTCCGAGGATGCCCCCCCGAGGACATGCCCTACCTGCAGCGTGCTATCCGTTTCACGGCAAAGACCGTTATTCTGAACTCGGTCGGGTCCGAGCGCCACCGGTTCAAGCAGGCCGAGATCAAGGACGTGGTCAAGTTCAAGACGTTGGACGACTTTGAATTCGACGCCAGCGACACGACGTACAAGGTTGTCAATTTCGTCGTCCAGAAAGGCCATGTATCCTTCCACCATGCCCTGCACTATACCTTGTCGTGGTTGGTCGAGTGCGCTCGCTCGCTCCCCGCCTCGACGGTCAAGGGTCTGCTCAGCTTCACCGCACAAGAGCTGCAGGCCAAGCCCAAGCTCATGGGCAAGCTCAGCCTGCCAAAGCAGGCCATGTCGTCGGAGGACTACCTGATGGCAGCGTTCGACTACCCCCTCCGCGTGTGCGCCTGGCTGGCCCAGATCAAGGCCAATATGTGGGTGCGCAACGGCATCAGTCTGCGCCACCAGGCCGGCACGTACCGCGGCGTCGGTCAGCGCGACGTCTCCCATCACCGAGACATCTTCCTCCTCCAGACCGCCATGGTTGTCTGCGACCCGGCCCGCGTCCTGGCATCGGTCATCGACCGGTTCGGCATGGACCTCTGGGTCAAGGGTCTGTACGAGGTCACCTCGCAGGCGCAGGACGACGCCCAGCACCTCGACGTGGTCGAGGATATGCTGCACCTGCTGATCGTCCTGCTCAGCGACCGCACCATCCTCACGGTGCCCGACAACGAGCCCGACTCACGCCTCCTTTCCATGCGCCGCGACCTCATCCACGTCCTGTGCTTCAAGCCCCTGTCGTTCAACGAGATCTGCAACAAACTCCCCGAAAAGTACCAGGAGTCCGAGGACTTCCAGGAGGTCCTGGACGAGATGGCCACCTTCAAGCCCCCCGAGGGCATCTCCGACGTCGGCACCTTTGAGCTGCGCCAAGAGTTCATCGAGGAGATCGACCCCTACATTGCCCACTACAACAAGAACCAGCGCGAGGAGTCGGAGACTGCCTACCGCAAGAAGATGGCCAAGAAGACGGGCAAGTCTGTCGAGGAGGTTGTCTACGAACCCAAGCCCCGGCCCATAACGTCGGGTCTGTTCGAGGACCTGAGCGCCTTCACGCGGACGGGCCCATTTGCCCAGATCATCTACTACTGCCTCATGTACCCGCTCACGGCGCACCAGCACATCCCGAGCATCCCGTCGACCAGGCTGGAGACGTTCCTCCAGGTCATCCTCCACCTCATGCTGCTGGCCATTCACGAGGACCGGACGACGGACGAGGAAGACCAGGATTCATTCGTCCACATCGCCCTCACGCGGCCGGCCCGGGTCAACGCACCCTCCGGCGAGCGCTCGGCGAGGACCATTGTGGCGCTGCTCAACATCATGTCGTCGAGGGAGGAGTTCAAGTCAGCGCACCCCAAGATCTACCTTGTCCTCAAGCGGCTCAAGCAGAAGCGCCCGGTCCTGTTTGACCAGGCGTTTGCTGGCCTCGGGATTCCGGTGGACCGGGTCAACACGTCGTCTCCCGCCGTAAACTTGGCCGAGGAGGAGCGTGAGCGGAGGAAGAAGGCGGCGCTGAGCCGCCAGGCCAAGGTCATGGCGCAGTTCCAGCAGCAGCAGAAGAGCTTCATGGACAACCAGGCCGATATCGACTGGGTCACGGACGCGGGCGAGGACAACGACGACGACGACGATGCCCGGGATCAGGCGGAGGAGGAGCGCAAGCACACGTGGAAGTATCCGACGGGGACGTGTATCCTGTGCCAGGAGGAGGCCGACGACCGCCGGCTGTACGGCACGTTCACGCTTCTCAACGAGAGCCACATCCTGCGGCAGACCGACTTCCAGGACCAGGACTTTGTGCGCGAGGCGTCGCAGACCCCCTGCAACCTCGACCGATCGGCCGAGGATCTGCGGCCGTTTGGCATCGCCCACGAGAACAGGCATATGGTCGAAAAGGTCAACAAGCAGGGCGAGACCTTCCTGGCTGAGCGCCAGGTCGTCGGAAAGGGCTACCCGGCGTCTACATCGCGGCCCGGACCGGTGGCCACAGGATGCGGCCACATGATGCATTACCGCTGCTTCGAGGTGTACTGCGAGGCTACCAACCGGCGGCACACGCACCAGATTGCCCGGCACCATCCGGAGGACACGCGGCGCAATGAGTTTGTCTGCCCCCTGTGCAAGGCTCTGGGCAACGCATTCCTGCCAATCGTATGGAAGGGTGTCGAGGAGTCGTACCCGGGCTGCCTCCTGCCGACGACGGGGCTCGACCAGTTCATCGATGAGCAGCTCGAGTCGTCGCACTGGCTGCGTGCCACGGGCAAAGGTACCGTGGTGGGCGAGCAGTCGGCAGCGGCCGACTCCCCGTGGCTGGAAAGCCTGGTGGATGCTATAGGTGAGGCGACGGGAGCCGTCACCGCCGCCGCCGCCGTGCCTGACACGTCCGCGGCCGCCACGCCTCAGGCGAACCCCAACGCCGCTGACGGGTCCATGGCGGCAGATCTCCGGGCTGCCTACAAGAGGCTACGCAACACGCTGCGGAGCAACGGTCTCAAGACGAGGCACGTGGGCGATGCGCACAAGGCGGCCGAACTTCCCGACGAGCTCTGCTGCAGCGACACGCTCGTGCAGGTGGTGGGCTTCACGATATCGTCGGTGGAGATCCAGCAGCGAGGCATCGAGGCGCAGCCGGGGCTCACGCTCCTGGACAGGGTTCCGGAGCAGACGCTGACGCACCTCCGGATCCTGTCGGAGACGGTGTCGTCGTACATATCCATCGGGGTGGAGGCCGGCGGGGACGCGTGGGGCCGGATGCTGACCGAGTTCCAGCGGGACAGCGAGCGGCAGCACTGCCAGCTCTTCATCTGCCGGTACTTTGGGGTGGGGGCGTCACACGCCCGCAGGCCAATGGACACCTACCCGCCACTGCTGAGCCTGGATCCCTTCATCTTCCTGGTGGAATGCACGTACGGGCTGGTGCCGGCGCACAAGGCGGACGTGGCGCACACGCTCCGGCTGTGCTACCTGGCGGAGCTGGTCAAGGTGGTGTTCCACATGGCGCGCAACATGCCGCTGGAGAGCTGGGCGGGTCCGCTGAGGAACCGCAGGACGCAGGACCCGGCGATGAACAACTTTGCCGAGTTCGCGCTTGAGGTGACGCGGTACGCCATCGAGTTCGACGTGGCGACGCTGCCGACGCACGACGACGGCTTCGAGCCATCCAACACGGGTTTCCAGCAGCCCGGCGTCGACACGCTAGAGGGCTGGTACACGTTTGTCAAGAAGTACGCCCTCACCTTCCTCCGCAAGAGCGTGCTCCTCCTCAACGTCAAGTTCGGCGTCGACTTTACGGGACGCCACGTGTCTACCAACCCGGACGCCGACGAGCTGGACCGTCTCACCGAAGCTCTACGCGTGCCCAGCTTTGACGAGATGTGTGCTGCTCTGACCCCCAGCGCCCAGGCATGCGGATGGCCTGCTGCTCCTGCTCCTGCTCCTGCTCCTGCTGCTGCTGCTGCTGCTGCTGCTGCTGCTGCCGTCGACGCCGCCGCTCCTTCCTCCTCCTTTTCTACTTCTTCTTCGTCGTCATCTTCGTCGACAATAAGCACTATCGTGGCAGGCTGGATCAGGCACCAGATCCTATGGCCACGCGAGAGATCGGGCCTAGAGGCAGACGACATAGCTGCCGCGCCGGGGGCGGCGGCCACGGCAGACCCGGTCACGGGCTCGGGCGCGGCGAGCAGGTACGCCGTCAGGTACGCGCCCGTCAGCCACCCGGGTATCTTCGAGCTCGTGGGTCTGCCAAAGACGTACGACACGCTCATCGAGGAGGCTACGAGAAGGAGGTGCCCTACCACCGGGAAGGATCTCATGGATCCCGTCATATGTCTGTTCTGCGGCGTCATATGCTGCAGTCAGGGGACCTGCTGCCAGAAGACGACGGCCGGGTCGGGACTCATGGAGGGATCGAGGATTGGGGGGGCACAGCAGCATATGCAGAGGTATGTATACTCTCCCTCCCTCTGCCTCCTCCCCTCTAACAGGAAGTCTGCTGTTCGCCGTAGAAGCTCCGCTGCTAACACGTCTCACAGATGCCAAGGAAATATCGGCGTGTTTCTCAACATCCGGAAATGCGCAACGGTCTACCTCTTCCGACTGTCGGGATCATTCGCTCCGGCCCCCTACATTGACAAGTACGGAGAGACGGACCCGCAGCTGCGCCACGGTCGGCAGCTCTTCCTCAATCAGAAGAGATACGACTCGATGATACGGAATACGGTGCTCAACCACGGGGTGCCGAGTCTCATCAGTCGGAGATTGGAGGCTGAGATCAATAACGGTGGATGGGATACTCTTTGAGGGGGAGTCAATGACAAGGGTGACGAACAGATGAAAGAATGATGGACTGCAGCTGGATACGGAAGTGGAAGCAGTATAGAGTATTGATCTTTATTTAAGCATAGCTATACCCTAGACGGCTGGCAAGATTGAATGAAGCCGTCGTGGTGAGATCAGTCATCGATGCCATTCATGGTGAATCATGGCGACGATGCGTCACGGTGTGTACGTGTACAGTCCCCCGGGGTAATCTGCACAGTGTATGAAACGTCCAGTCAGCATCATCATGTGATACGGACACGTTGGGCGGCGTATCAGCATATGATTTCCACAATCCAAGTATCTCCCAATAGTAATTCATATGAAGAGGTACATCTCCCTGAACCCGACGCCACGCCTCGCAGCCGCTTCCCGGTGGAAAAAAAGAGTCCACCAAGCGCGTGCGGCGTGCGCGTGATAAGGTTTCCCGATTGGCTTCGCCCTCGAGACAGAGAGACAAGAACGATCCTTTTCTTCACCTTCAAATCTCCTCAGGACATAGTCAATCCTTCTCTCTCTGTCCCTCCCTCTCCCTTGTCGACTCTGGTCCAACTTCCAGGTCAACCCCCTACGCTTCTCCCCATCACTCTCGGACGAGATGCCTCCTGGGCGACGATCAGGGCGCGCTGCCGCCAAGAGGGCAGCTGCTGCACTTGGTAAGTTGAGACAGACCCTCTCCCCCAGTTCTTTCCACCGTTTTCCTGTATATTTTCCTCCTTCCCCATCTTCTCCTGCAACAACGAGGGCATTGGGTATTTTCAAAGCCAACGACTATCTCTTTATTATTATCCTATTTGTTTTCAAAAAAAAATCCTTCTTTCTGTGTGTGTATCTATCTCTGTTGAAAAGGGTGTTGCGGAAGAAAAAAAAAAGAGCCGGCGCAGACACGGCAAGGATTGAAAGGAAGGGTAACGCGACAGTGACGAGAGAGAGAGTAATAAGAAGGTCCAAAGGAGGGGGGGGAAATGGCCAAGATTCGTCTCAGACTGACGCGAACATCTGCCGCCGCAGAAAATACGCCAAGAGTCTTTGAAGAAGTGGCCGACGAGTCCATGCCGGATGCCGACGCGACGCGCAACGATGACGATGACGACGACGAGGATGCCAAACCGCCCAACGATTCTGGAGACGACGACGACGACGACGACGACGACGACGGCAGCGGCGGTGCTGACGGGGCCGAGGAGGAAGAAGAGAATGGCGGCGATGGCGTGGCAGAGGAGGCGGAGGGGGACAAGGCGGACGAGTCGGTGACGGCCTCATCCAGGGACGCGCAGCCGGCGCAGAACATGGTGCGGAGGAAACGCCTGGGGCGACCTCCCAAGAACAGGCCCCCGGACTGGGACCCGATGGTGATGGTGCCGGCGGACGAGGTGCGCGACACGCCGCGGCGCAGGGGCCGGGGCGGGTGGAGGGGCCGGGGGGGGCGGAAGGGCGGCGCAGCGCCTCCCAAGGCGGAGCAGGTGATTGACGGCGAGGGCACGGTGGCGGAGATCGCCAACGACGAGTGCGTCCTCCCGACCGACGCCGAGGGCGAGGCCAAGGTGGACGCGATGGGCAACCTCCAGGGCGGGCGAGACTACCGGTGCCGCGTCTTCACCGTGCTCGGCCGCGGCGATCGGCTGTACATGCTCTCGACGGAACCGGCGCGCTGCGTGGGTTTCCGCGACAGCTACCTCTTCTTCACCAAGCACCGCAAGCTACACAAGATCATCGTCGACGACGAGGAGAAGCGGGACATGATCAGCAGGGACATCATCCCCCACTCGTACAAGGGCCGGTCGATAGGCATCGTCACGGCCCGGTCCGTCTTCCGCGAGTTCGGCGCCCGCATCGTCGTCGGGGGCAGGCGCGTCATCGACGACTACAACGTCGCCCTGGCCAGGGCCGACCCGACGGTCGAGGAGGGCCAGCTGGCAGACCCGGACGACAAGTTCATCCCGGGACAGCCCTACAACAAGAACCAGTACGTCGCCTGGCACGGGGCCAGCGCCGTCTACCACACCAACCAGCCCTCTGTGCCTGCGCCGGCGGGCAAGCCAGAGTACAAGAAGCGAAAGGTCAATGTCAATGATACGAATTGGATGCTCGAGCATGCTCGCGAAGCGAGGTACGTTCCCCGTCTCCTTCTTCTCTACTCTCAACCCTCTCTCTCTCTCTCTCTCTCTCTCTCTCCCCGTGTCTCTGTGTCTACGTTGTACGTCACCCTGTACTGACACGATCCGCAGCATCTTCAATAGCGGTATCAATGCCATCAGGAAACTCAACAACGCGGGCGTCTACGACATTCACACCAACGTGATGCAGTACCCTGCCTACCTGCAGCCCACGGTAGCCCGCATCGAGCAGGTACCACCGACCGTTGAGGGGGGGAGAGGCACGGGCAGCAGCAGCGGTACCAAGTTCCCGCCCGTCCCGGCCAAGCTGGCCAGGAACTTCTTGGTGGTGGACACGTACACCGAGACGCCACCCACGGGGATCAGCCCGGGCGCGTACTCGCACGGCAGCGGCAGCGGCGCACCCCCGACCGCGGACTTCCTCTCGGCCTTTAGCTGCCTGGATGCCGTGCCCGAGGACGTGAGGGACCTGCTGCCGGCCGAGTGCCGTCTCGCGTTCGACAAGGCGGTCGACAGTGAGAGGGAGTGGAAGGGGAGGTGGGGACCCGAGAGCAGGACAATGTGCCGGCGGGATCCGATCATCGACAAGGCCATCGTTCCCTAAGGTGTGGGCCGGGGGGGGGGGGATGTATCTGGGATGTATCTGGAATGTGGATGTATTTCGTGTGTCGCAGTCGGGGATCCCGCTCTCTGATTCCTCCCATTTGTCAGACTTATCGGCAGAATAATGTCGGTAAAACGCCTGTCTGGGGGTTCCGGTTCAGAAAGAGATTTATCCGGATAACTATTCACTAATGTAATGATGGAAAATAAAGGGCTCATCTAAGTATATCTATATATCTTGTTACAATCCCGGCCGTTCCTCTTATAACCGTCTTGCTCGTATGTCGATCCTATCGTCTATACCGTTAGACTTGACGCCGTCCTTGCCAGAACACACAAGATAGGAACAGCTCTACTTTCCCGCCTACTGAAAACGGCGGGAAAAGTATGACACAAGGTACCGCTTCCCTGCGATGCATCGACGATCTATTCAATCGGTAAACATGAATCTACCCGGCGCAGTAAGGGCTCTTCTTGCGAATCCACTTGCCATACTTCCAAAGGATAGAAGAAACGACGAGGCAGATGCCGAATGCGACGCCTGCCAACAGCCCGTTTCCGCCAGCGATTCCAAGACTCTCATATAGCTTGTTAGCAAACAGGGGAAACCCGAATCCTGCCATGGTGCGCATGAAAGCCGACGCGCCCGCAGCACTGGCCGCATAAGTCTCGTAGCAATCGATGATGTACGTCTGCGCACACTGAAAGGAGAGGATCAGGCCCATGGCAAATATAGCGGTGCCGATATTGGGGACAATCCAGTGGACCTCGTAATGGGCTGCCAGACCGTATAACAAGAGGCCGCTAGGCGCAATGATGGCAGTGGGAAACATGAGCGGTATCCGGTACTCCGGGCAGCCGGTGGTGTTGTGTTTCTCCTTGAGATGTTTGTATGTCTGCAGTGAACGGTTAGCGACGAGTGTACTGCTCGGTGATCACAGAGGAGGGGGGTGGTAGAAGGCAAAAAGAGAAGAAAAAGAAGAAGAAGAAAAGAAGAAGAAGAAGAAAAA